TTTTAACATTTGCTGATTCCAAGGGATTAGCATTGTCTAGCACACAGCATAATACACTCGGGTCTGGCTTAATACACAAGAGTTTAGCACCCAGTTTTAACACTCCAAGGCTTACTTAAATTTGAACACCTACTGGACCTGGAAATTTAGGAAAGTCTATCACCCACAAACTCACAACAATGCATTGAACAGACATGAGCAGGGTTGCCCACTTGTTATATGGCAATACTGAGGCTCCTTATACACCACACATTTAAAGCAAATGACTTCAACCAATTTATCCTGGGAACTGTTGTTTGTTAGAGGTACTGGGAACTGTAAATTCTGGGTGAGGTGGCCAGGACAAGATCTGCATTGCCACCATTTGCTACCCTAGAAAGACTTTTAAAACATACAGTGGTACTTCGGGTTACATACGCTTCACGTGACATACGCTTCAGGTTACAGACTCCGCTAACCCAGAAATATTACCTCAGGTTAAGAACTTTGCTTCAGGATGAGAACAGAAATCGTGCTCCGGCGGCGCAGCAGCAGCAGGAGGCCCTATTAGCTAAAGTGGTGCTTCAGGTTAAGAACAGTTTCAGGTTAAGAACGGACCTCTGGAACGAATTAAGTACTTAACCTGAGGTACAACTGTAGATTGATTGGTTGGTAGATAGATAGATAGATAGATAGATAGATAGATAGATAGATAGAATGACTGATTGATCAATCGATCTTTCTAAGTCTTCTAAGCCTACGGTCATTGCCACATCTTATGACAATGAGCTCCTTCAATTACTGATGTGCTATGTGGAAAAATACTTGCTTTTTATCTGTCCCGAATCCCCTACAATAGGAAGCAGAATTGCTAAACTGCCTATTGTGTTTATGCTTGTGAATTTACATGGATGTGCGCTAGAGACAAGACATTCCCCCAGAGAGTGGCTTGTCAAACTGAGTGGCTCCTCTGCAGACACCTTCTCCAATGCTTTGACTTCTAGCAGTCCTGGAGTGGCAGCTGGACCCTGAAGACAGGAGCTGGCATGAGGTCAGCTTTACTGGGCACCTGCCAAGGCACATACCTCAGCAGCGGGCACACGACTGACCCCTGAATCCCCCTGGCCTGACTGCTGTGTCTCCTTGCCGCTGTTGCCTGTTCAGCTGGCCTCTCTGAGCAAGCAGGCAGTGAAAGGAGCAAAGAAAAGATAGGAACACAGAAAACTGCCTTATATGAAGTCAGACTATTGGATCATCTATCTCAGTATTGGGGGTGCATGGTTATATCAAATCTGGTTGTTCATTTTTAGTATGTGTTTTTTGTCCATGTTACTTGGCCAGAGAACTGCACTGGAAAATTCAGAGAAACGCAGATTTCAAAGGACAGTTGTGTTCTGGTTCTCGTGTTGTTCCCATGTTGTTTCTGAAAGTGTGGTTTAGCTGGATTCACCTTCAGATGTGAACTGGATACATAAATATTGGGCACACTGGCCCCACTAAACATCTTCCAAGATAATAAAGCCCGCTCACATCATAAAGAGCTCATAACCCACCTACTCTCAGCAGCCAGAAGCATCATAGCCAGACACTGGAGAGACCTGTCAGGAGTAAGCATGGACCAATGGTATCAAATTGTATGGGAAACAGCCTTACTTGAAAAGCTAACCAATGAAATGAAACTGACACAGGGACAAATAGAAGAGGATGCTTCCACCCCAGTATTGTTCCCCTTTATCACATACACAGCCCAACAAGACAACAACAACAATAATAATAATAATTTATTATTTGTACCCCACCCATCAGGCTGGGTTCCCCAGCCACTCTGGGCAACTTCCAAAGATTAAAAATACATTAAAATGTCCCACATTAAAAACTTCCCTGAACAGGGCTGCCTTCAGATGTCTTCTAAATGTCAGGTAGTTGTTCATCTCTTTGACATCTGATGGGAGGGCGTTCTGCAGGGCGGGTGCCACTACCGAGAAGGCCCTCTGCCTGGTTCCCTGTAGCTTTGTTTCTCGCAATGAGGGAACCGCCAGAAGGCCCTTGGTGCTGGACCTCAGCATCCGGGCAGAACGATGCGGGTGGAGACGCTCCAAGAATCTGCCGACAGCATACGAATCAACCTGGCTAACCTGATCCAAACACACACACACACACCACTCTCACACAAAAACAAATCTCACTACAGCCAACCAATCACATCCTAGGCCACCCCAACCTCTCTCGCCACCAAGGAAACACAACAAGCGAATAGTAAGAGAACCCACACAAACGACGCTGACACAAAACCCGACACAAACACCAAGTAGAAGGAAAGAAACATTGCCACACGACTCCACCCCACTCACCATTCCCCCCTCCCCCTCTTTCCCCCTCTTTTCTTCCTAACCTAACACTGTATGCCACACTGATGTTTCACAACAAATGAAACTGATCTGCAGAAAACACAACTTGAAAAAAGAGACAATGCACACATTTTTGTAAACTAAGAAATCTTTAATAAAAATATATTTTAAAAATAAATAAATATTGGGCACTGTGCTTTTTAAGTTTATTGAGCATGAAAAGGCATGGATGTGAACTCCTAATGTATTTTTGTGTTTATAAAGTTCAATTGAAAAAACAACGTATAGTCGAAAATTGTGGACTCTCCCTCCTTGGAGGTTTTTAAGCTTAGCCATCTTTCATGGATGCCTTTGCTGAGATTTCTGCATTGCAGAGGGCTGGACTAGATGTCACTTGGGGTCCCTTCCAACTCTACAGTTCTCTGATCTATGAATGAGCCACTAAATCTCACTGGAAATCTCTTCTCCCCACACCTCCACCAAAATCAGCACCCCCTAGAGAAACTTGAAACAGTGCCTCACTCAGTGCCAAAACAACCCCTACCAAAAAAAGCACAGGCATTTGCTCACATTCAGCCCAGAGAAAGCATTGGAAGCAAGTCTGATGACAATGCAGGATGTGTTTGCACAGCCCCGGAGCAAATAAAAAATAAAAACAGGAGTCTGGCATCAACTATAATACGGCAAGACAGCTGCAGAACGTAATGAAAAGGGGTGGAAATTGCTGAATGCCGCAAAGCTCCACTCAGAGGGGGGTCTCAGCTTGACACACTTCCAATTCCCTTTCACCACTTTGCCATATGGTCAAAGATGGGTGGGAAGGGGGGAAATAGCACCAGATATAGAATATCAACCCCCATCTTCTCAACCTAAATTGACTCCTTTTACTAATCTTCTGCTCACTCACACAGCTGCTGATAGCATTTATGAAGTACCTTCAAGAGCTTTTTCTAAAAAATGGTGCAACACAGGCATGGGAAGCCAAAGGACCACCTTCGATCAGGTTCTTTAATGGTGCGCTTCTCTGAAGTCCTTGGGCACTGGGCAAAGGGATATTAATCGTCATTCCAGTTGTATGGTTCTGGCAAAAGCGAGCCTGGCCATGGTGCTTTGCATCCTGTAACGACCTCATAACTTCTGGAAGATGGAAGAAGCTGACTTTGAAAAGCAGCCAGACCCTTCAGCTGTGTCACCAGATCTGCTGATGGGCTAGGGCACATACAGTGGTACCTCGAATTAAGAACTTAATTCATTCCAGAGGTCCGTTCTTAACCTGAAACTGTTCTTAACCTGAGGTACCACTTTAGCTAATGGGGCCACCCGCTGCCGCTGTGCCGCCGCCGTGCAATTTTCGTTCTCATCCTGAAACAAAGTTCTTAAGCCGAGGTACTATTTCTGGGTTAGCAGAGTCTGTAACCTGAAGCATCTGTAACCCGAGGTACCACTGTATGTCCATTAGTACACAAACCTTTTATACATGCATTTGCTAGAAGGCTAATTTGGGGAAATTCACAATAATATTCTCAGAATGTTTACTAGAGAAGGTTGGGCGCAGACAGACAGAATTGCACTGGCTCTGGTAACTTTCATGTGGGGGATTTAGCAGATGGGTCGTTCTTAGTAGGCTTGTTCCTGAGAGCCAGCAAGAAATGTTCTGCAGGTGCCATTATAATATTTATTTATAAGTGAATAAAGGTTTAAAGAACATCACATGCCCATATGAAATGATTGAAAAGCAACAAAAAAAACACTTTGTTTCTTGAAACTCATACAGAAACAAACAGAAAAGAGCAGGTCAATATTGCCTGGATCAGGCATAGGCAAACTCGGCCCTCCAGATGTTTTGGGACTACAAGTCCCATCATCCCTAGCTAACAGGACCAGTGGTCAAGGATGATGGGAATTGTAGTCTCAAAACATCTGGAGGGCTGAGTTTGCCTATGCCTGGCCTGGACTACACATTTCATTGCTGTTCAGAGACAGGAGAAGAGCTGGAGTTCCTAATAAGGAACAAGAGGCGGAGTCTGTAAAGTCCCTGTTTCACTATGGAGGAAGTGAAAGAATCAGGAAGGGGGAAATGTTTTCTGTACCTTCTCTGTCTCACAAGAGCCAGATGAAAAATTAAGAGAGCCACAGATATCAAGTACTACCATTAATAATGACCGGAGGAACAACTGTTGCTTTTATTGACTTCTTTTTGCTTTTCTGACATTTTTGTCTTAGAAGGGGTAATACTGTGTTCTGTCTCTAGGTGTCACCATCTGCAGTTCGTCTCAAAGAGCTGCTGCTCTGTTCTAAACAGGCTATTGTTTGTGGCTTTAAACCCATGATGTTTTCCGTCATGCTCTGTTCTGATCAATGAAAAATAACCCCACACGTGTTTCCTAACCAGAAATGAAGCATTTGCAAAAATGGCAACCAAAGACATCTGCTCCAAAATTACAGAAATAAACTTGCTGGGTGTTGTAAATGCAACCCAAAAGCCTTGTGCTAGCCCAGCCCATAAGTGGAATGCTCTGAATGTTTTGAATAAGATACCCTTCACACCAGGGCCGTCTTGCCCATAGATGCTAGTGGTGCAGGGCGCCAGGGCGCCAAGTTCTGGTGGGTGCCAGGCAAGAGTCAGGGAAACACTGAACAAGCGTGCTGAGTGAGCGAGGGTGCATGCGCCGCTCCCGCCAAGTGTCAGCTCGGTTTTTTCTCTTTTAACCTGCAGGCACCGAATTCTGTGGGGCACCAGAAGGCTAAAAGGGAAAAAACCAAGCCAACGCTTGACGGGAGCAGCGCACGAGCCCTCACTCGCTCACTCGTTCAGTGTGCTCGCTTGCCCAACAGGTTGAGGCGCAGGTATGCGTGGTGCGCCTCCTGTTAGCCATCTTCTTCTTCGAGCCGGGCATCAGGTGCCGCGGATCTCCACAGGGCCAGCTCCCCCGGTCCGCTCACCACCCTCACCCACCTCCACCATGCCATGCTGAAGCAGCACCGCGCTCGGAGCCTCCGCCTGCCATGGCCACAGCGACATGAAGCAGCCAGCTGAGCTGGAAGGTGCTGTGTCCAGCCTCCGCCTCTTCCCTGCTGGAGGAGCCGCCCTCCAGCCGCTGCCCGCCTCTTCCAGCCCTGCAAAGCCAGCAGCACCATCCCGTCCCAAGAGGCTTCCTCCACTGCTGCTGGTGTTCCCTCCCTAAAAAAGGTCGACAACTCTGGGAAACGGGAGGGGGGTGGTGATGGCTTGTAATGCTCTTCGCAAGAAATGCCTCTGCTCACTCTCAGAGATACATCTATACAGTCTTTATTTTCCATATGTACAAGCAGCACGTTACAATCATGCATCCGAATCCTCCGGCTCAGATTCTGCGAGTGACTTATGCCCGCCCCTTCTCCAACAGAAAAGGCAGGGAAGTTTCATGTGATGCCTCTCCCCCCTCCTCTTAAACACTCTCCTTTCTTTGGCAGACGGAATGTGCATTGTTTCACTGTCTGTGCCAGAACTTCCTGTGCGGTGTTGAGGCTCTGGTTCAACATCTGTGAGCCGTTCCGCCTCCTGGCTTTCCCTTCTTTCCACAATTGCCACTTCCTGCCCCCCTTCCTCTGCCTGTCTCTACTCCTCCCCTTCATTCTCTGGCAATACCATGACACGGGGGCACGCCAGAGGGATCTTTGCACTACGGCGCCGGATATGCTTAAGACGGCCCTGCTTCACACTAGGAAAACACTGAGCACGACCATAAAGAATGCAGAGGTCTACAGTGATTAAAGGTCTTTGACAATTATCGCCTTTGTTTTTCACCAAAAAACTCAAAAACTAAGAAAAATCAATATTACAGTACAGTGGTACCTCAGGTTACATACGCTTCAGGTTACATACGCTTCAGGTTACAGACTCCGCTAACCCAGAAATATTACCTCAGGTTAAGAACTTTGCTTCAGGATGAGAACAGAAATTGTGCTTCAGCGGCATGGCAGCAGCAGGAGGCCCCATTAGCTAAAGTGATGCTTCAGGTTAAGAACAGTTTCAGGTTAAGAACAGACCTCCGGAACGAATTAAGTACTTAACCTGAGCTACCACTGTATCTCAAAGCACAGGGCTACTGTCAGGAAACTATTATTTCATTTGTTTCCAGCCCTTCAGTGGAAAACAGGTTCGAGGGTTGAACCCACATGAGCCCAGGCACAAATGAAGCCCTGCTATCTTTATTTTTTAACATAAACTTGTTGGATAGCAGGTGGACAGCAGGAGAGTTTCAGAGGGGCGGGGGTTCCATAGGAATTTAACATCTGTAACACGGTATAAAACATGGAACGACAATAAAAATAAAATTGGAAAGCATAAAACTATTCAACCAGCTGAAAAATATAATAATTTAAAATGCCCAGCAGGTGGAAGGAAGGTTTTAACCTGGTGTCAGAAAAGAATAGAGTGCACTTGCTAACAGCTGCACAGTCATTAATTACCAGGAAATGGAAAAATCTCGAGGGCCTGTCCCAAGACAGATGTTACAGTGGTGTTTGGCAGCATGTGTTCATGGAAAAGGTGACACAGACAGAGGCTAGAAAATGGCCAAGGTACACAAAACTCTTTTATTAGTACATGGCATATGACTTTATTGATCACATGGATAAAGAGAACATGGAAGCAACCTTCATGCACATAAAATAAACAATCTATGGTCTTTTAAACTAGATGGGGGGCTTTTTCGTTATCAGGGTATGTATTTTTGCGTTTTTATTCTGTTGTAAACCACCCTGTGATCTTCGGATGAAAGGCGGGATAGAAATTTAATGAATAAAATAATAAATAATGCCACCAGTATCTGGGTACCACGAACTTCTCTCCTTCCCAACCCATATACATTTCCTTACAATTCAAGTTTATACAATTATACATGGCATGGGGGAAAGTGGACAGGGAAATGCCGGAACTTGCTCCCATAGTGTAGCAAAATTAGTGTTTAGGCTGAAGAAAAAGTCACACAGCTATTTGAGGAAAACAAAAGGTGTTTTATTGCAAGCAATAAAAGTCTCAGTGGGATTTCTTTCCCTAAAGCTGAGCCCCACCTTGAAGCAAAAGGGGCTTCTAATATACAATTCTAAGGCAATGCATATGCAAAAGCTGAGATAAAATCCCTCCAATAAAAGGTTGCTGTTGTTGTTTAGTCATTTAGTCGTGTCCGACTCTTCATGACCCCATGGACCAGAGCACGCCAGGCACTCCTGTCTTCCACTGCCTCCCGCAGTTTGGTCAAACTCATGCTGGTAGCTTCGAGAACACTGTCCAACCATCTCATCCTCTGTCGTCCCCTTCTCCTTGTGCCCTCCATCTTTCCCAACATCAGGGTCTTTTCCAGGGAGTCTTCTCTTCTCATGAGGTGGCCAAAGTATTGGAGCCTCAGCTTCACAATCTGTCCTTCCAGTGAGTGCTCAGGGCTGATTTCCTTCAGAATGGAGAGGTTTGATCTTCTTGCAGTCCATGGGACTCTCAAGAGTCTCCTCCAGCACCGTAATTCAAAAGCATCAATTCTTCGGCGATCAGCCTTCTTTATGGTCCAGCTCTCACTTCCATACATCACTACTGGGAAAACCATAGCTTCAACTATACAGACCTTTGTCATCAAGGTAATGTCTCTGCTTTTTAAGATGATGTCTAGGTTTGTCGTCACTTTTTTCCCAGAAGCAGGCTTCTTTTAATTTCGTGACTGCTGTAACCATCTGCAGTGATCATGGAGCCCAAGAAAGTAAAATCTCTCACTGCCTCCATTTCTTCCCCTTCTATTTGCCAGGAGGTGTTGTGTCATCAGCATATTTGAGGTTGTTGAGATTTCTTCCGGCAATCTTAATTCCGGTTTGGGATTCATCCAGTCCAGTCTTTCGCACGATGAATTCTGCATATAAGTTAAATAAGTTTAAAGTTAAATAAAGTTAAATAAGTTAAATAAAAGGTTGCTGCACCCTGCTAATTACACCATTGAAGGTCCTTCCTTAACTGCTATTCATTAGGTACGAGAACAAAGGGCCCTCTCTCTCAAGGCAGTATCAGGCATGTGGTCCCTTTGAATTCCTTTCCTTGGGGGTTTACCCGTCTCAGAACATAGAGCCAGGCACTTCCCTTCTTATGTGGGCACATCAGAACATCTATCTTCCAAGATAGAGCAAGGTCAAGGAACAAAGACTACTCTTAGAGTGTATGAAGACCTTCTGGAATCTGTTCAGTTCAAGATAAGGTCTCCTGCTGGTGTCAGGATGATCTGACTTTAAGGATTCTGTGCATGAATAGGAGACAGTGATGGTCTTTGTTTTCATGTGTGAGTGGGGTGGGTGGGTGTTTTGGATCAGGTTAGCCATATTGATTTGTATGTTGCTGGTGGATTTTTGTCGTTGTCTTGTTGGGCTGTGTTTGTGATAAAGGTGTTAATGGAGAAATCTGAGGGCTTCCCTGGACAAAAAACAAGGACACCAGCCAGGAATACCAGAGCAAAACAGCAGCCAGTAGGCTTGGTCTTTATTGAAGACTGTCGCGACAGGACTCCCACCTGCCACCAGGTGAAACAAGATGGAAGCTCAGAACAAAAGAAGACCCCAACTTTTATTAGCTACTAATCCCCAAAGCTACACCCTAGAAGTACATCACAGCTACATCATGACTACATCATTGATACATCACAAAAAGGAGGGGTTGTGGGAGGGGTTTGTGGAGGGAACCTGAGTATCTTGTCACCTGGCTGGTCCCTCCTTTCCCCCTCCCCATGAGTATTTTCCAGAGGACCAAGAGGGAAGAGCTGATCACTGTCCTTTGTTTCAGTCCGTGTTGAATCCACTCCCATATGCAAGTTCTTTGTGTCCTTGATGGTCTTCTGTCTAGGACCATCAAGGTTGGCATGCCAACTGGGTAGGGCTCCTGCATACGTGTTGGTATGCTCAAGGGATTATGGCCGTCCTGTAGCAAACCATCCCCTTTTGATAGTCCTTCCTTCATGGAACAAAATAAAAGTGGACCGGTGTAGATCCGATGTACGGTTGATTTTCTATGAATTTATAACGGAAACATTGCGTATGTCGTGTGTGAGTGTGTGTCGAGTTTGTACAAAATAAATGATGGGGGGGTTTTCCTGCAACGAAGGGGAGCCATACCAGGGTGAAGGTGTCGTCTTCTATTTGTCCCCGTGTCAGCCAACCACAAATGAATAACCACACCCTATGCCAATCCCAACCTCTCTCACCACCAAAGGAACACAAGTGAACAGCAAAGAACCTGCACAAGCAACGCTGTAGCATTTGTGCTCACTCCCCCACCTCTCCAACCTGTCCTCCAAATCCATCAGGACCTGGCCGAGAAAGAGGGGTGCACAGATGCTTTTACAAAACACACACACAAAAACCAGTAGTTTGCTGCCACCATTTCCTTATCTCAGAACAGCCCCGAAAAGTAACCTAAGGAAGGAGATTACTCTTCAGCTTTACCAGGCTGCCCCACACTGTGTCACTTTACCGTGGCACAGACAGAAATCCAACAGGCTCGGGTAGGCAACTAAATGGTTAAGCACTGGTTCAGCTCCCCGGCAGAAAGGCACAAAAGACAGAAGCAGGAAAAAGTCCTTTTTCCAGAATTTATTAAAAAGAAAGGTTACTCAGAAACATAAAAATGAGCACATCTCTTACAAATCCCAAGCAGAAAATAAAAACATTTTTTAATATCACGAACTACAGAACATATTCACAACAAGAACGAGAGTACGAAACAAAACAGTTCAAAAAAGCGCTCTGGGCTGAGTCCGCACCTTCTGCA